TTTTATCCATTTCTAAGTTCCTTTATTAAGAAGTTCCCATACAAAGGGCTCTTGAGGTTTTGAGCAGGGCTCCTGAATAAGGATAAACTAGTTTATGCATTTCTCCAGAGAAGGTAGGAACTAATCTTCCAACCATCTCCATATGAGTAGCAGGCAACTGAATCAGAGTCCTTGCCAGGGTCGTGGATACCTGGGGAGAGCTCCAGCTGGAACTAACCCTCCATGTTCCAGAGAGCTAACCAAAAACAATCAGCAAGTCCACAAAAACACACGCACACTTCTGTATCTATCTCACATTCACAAAATTAACAGATAATTCCAATATTCTTCACACATCCATTTCTACCAACTGTGGCCTTCTGTAAACCATTCCCAAATCTCACACTTAACACTTCTCCCTCCTAACAGTTTTGCTTTTTTCAAATATAACCTATTTGACGATTACATTACTTTGTGTTTGGGGGTTTAATTGGGCCTAGAGAAATATGAAAATACATAAAACCCCCAAAGCATAAAGTAAGCTATAGAAAAGCTACAGAACACTTCCACGGTTGAAATCAGTTAAAAGTAAAGAGAAGTAGTAAAAGTTCAGCAGCTGGAATGTAGTTAACAATTCCTCTTGATGAATGAGCCAGAATATAACGAGCTTGCTCTCCTCTAGCAGGGCTGATTTTGTAGTGCTAATAGAAGTAATAAAAGCTGTCAGTAAATCAGGTTGATGAAAGTCTCTGCACAAAGAGATCAGATCTCTTGAGTGAGAGTGCACTTTTGATACATTTTCCTGAGCACAACTGCACTTCAAAAGCGTTCATTATTATCCTGACAATATTTTAAGTCCCCTTTATAGTCTGAGGGTTAAATAAGTTTCCAAAGTACATGTATATCAATTTGAGATAAAGTGTTCTACTCACAGTTATACCATGATATGAAACATAGAATCCTAAATAAGACCTATTCCCCAGCACTTATAAGTACTGTTCATGTAATTGAAAGATCTGGAGGACAGAGACTTCTGATCAGGAAGTTAAGAATTGGGTATTATTACTGGTTCCCATTTTTCTGACTATGGCTCTATTTTCATTGTGTCTATAACAGGAGTGGGCAAACTTTTTGGGCCGAGGGTGACAATTGGGTGGGGAAATTGCATGCAGGGCCATGAATGTAGGGCTAGGGCAGGGGGTTGAGGTGCGGGAGGAAGTGCAGGGTGTTGGAGGGGGTGTGGTGTACAGAAAGGGGCTCAGGGCAAGGGGTTGGGGCGCAGGTGGTGTGCGGAGTGTACAAAGGGGCTCAGGGCAGGGGCTTGGGGTGCAGGCGGGGTTCAGGGTGCAGGCGCCGGCCTGGCGCCACTTACCTGGAGCAGCTCCAGGGTGGCAGCGGCACGCAGCAGGGCTAGGATAGATTCCCTGCCTGTCTGCCTGCCCTGGCCCCACGCCGCTCCCAGAAGCGGCCGGCACCATCTCCCAGCGGCCCCAGAGGGAGGAGGGCAGAGGGCTCTGCGCTCTGCCCTCACCTGCAGGTACCTCCCCCCGAAGCTTCCATTGGCTACGGTTCCCCGTTCCCGGCCAATGGGAGCTGCGAGGGGCAGTACCTGAAGGCAAGGGCAGAACACAGAGCCTTCTGCCCCAACCCCCCACCCCTACCCGGGGCCGCAGGGACGTGATGCCGGCCGCTTCCGGAAGCGGCGCGGGGCCCGCGGCACCCCGGGGGTGGCAATCCCACAGGCCAGATCCAAATCCCTGATGGGCCGGATCCGGTCCGCAGGCCATAAATTTGCCCACCCCTGCATCAGTATGAACTTGCTTAAGCATTCAGTCTTTGCTGGAAGAAGTAGTGGAATAATTATTTGAGGCATCTGATTTGTTTTCATAACTTACAAAGACACATTTTGAAATAAATGAATGAACCGGGGGGAACCCAAGTTGCTATCAGCAACAAAGGAGGAAAAATTTGAAAATAATTCATATTGATCTGCCCTGTTCTTAGTCCAGGTGAAGAAAAGCAGATCCCAAAAGTAAAATACACTGAATAGTAATGAAGTACTGAAAAGTAAACAGGATAAATAGCCAGGCAGCAATGATCAGATCCCTAAAAGTTTCAGCAGACAATTTAAAATGGATATTTTGGCTTATGCATGCCTTCAGAATCATGTTTTTGTATATTACTAATAATCTTCAATTACCCTTACTCCATGAAACCTAAGTTCAAATCAATTTGTCTTTCTCCAATTTTACAGCAATTTATTGGGGGTAGGGATTGGGAGAAGACAACTTGTCCATATCCTATAACTCTATAGTATGTAAAGTAAACAAGGTTTTCAAAATGTTTAAAAAGCTTCATTTAAAATGAAATTAAAATGCTGATCTTACACTGCCGGCCCGCTCAGCCCGCTGCCGGCCTGGGGTTCCATTCACCTAGGCCGGCAACGGGCTGAGCGGGGCCTGCAGCTGGGACCCTGGCTGGCAAGGGGCCGGCAGCCAGAACCCCAGACCGGACGCAGGCTGAGCAGCTCAGCCCACTGCCGGTCTGGGGTTCCGTCCGCCGGCTCCTAACAGCCAGGGTCCTGGCCCCGCTCAGCCCGCTGCCGGTCTGGGGTCCCAGCCCTGCCCACATAGAGTGGGTACCTACCTTCTCCCTGGTTTTAGTCCATTCTCTCTTTTCTCTCTGCACTGAGCTGAGGGTGGGAGTGCACTGAGCACAGGGCTGAGGGTGAAGGAGCAGGCTGGGGGTTGGGGTGTCAAGTCTGGTCAGGAACTAGAATGAGGGAGGGGGCTCAGGGTTGGGGCAGGAGGTTTGGATGTGGAGCGCTTACCTGGGCAGCTCCCATTTGGTGAGAGAGGTGCAGGTAGGAATGTGGAGGGGGGGTTGGTGCTCAGGGTGGGGGTGGGGATGTGGGGGGTGCAACAGTCAGGGCATTGGGTGTGGGGGGGCTAGATGTGTGGGGGGTGGAGTCAGGGCAGAGGGCTGGGGCGTGTGAGGGGGTGCAGGAGTCAGGGCATGGAGTGTGGGGGAGCTGGGTATGTGTGGGGGTGCCGGAGCCAGGGCTGGGATCGTGCGGAGGTGCAGAGCTCAGGGCAGGGGGCTGGGGGTGTGGGCTGGAGTCGTGGGGATGCTCCCAGCCCCCTGCCCTGAGTGGCTCACGGCAGGGGGCTGGAGGGAATATGCCCTGATTCCACACTCCTTCCCCAAGGCCCCGTTCCCGCTTCTTCTCCGGAACAGCGAGCACACTGAGGCTGTGGTTCCAGCTCCGCTTCGCCCCCTCCCTCTGCAGGCCATCAGCCTGTTCGGCCGCAGAGAGGTAGAGGAAGAGGGGCAGGAACCCAGCATGCTGGGAGAAGAAATGGGGGAGGAGGAAGCTTGGCTGCCGGTGGAGGCTGCCCTGCAGCAGCAGCCAGCAGGACCAAGCTTCTGCCCCCTGCCCCCATAGGAGAGAGTGGTGGGCTGGGGACGGAGAAGAGCAGGCTGGGCCGGGCAGAATTTTTAATGGCACACTGCAGCCTGACGGGGTCCCGGCTGCTGGCCCCACCCAGCCCACTGCCGGCCTGGGTTTGGCAGCGGGCTGAGCAGGGCCGACGGCCGGGACCCCGGCAGGCAGCAGCGTGCCATTAAAAATCGGCACGCATGCCATAGGTTGCCGACCCCTGGTCTAGATCAATCTTCTCTCCAACCCCCACTCCTTTCCCAATAGAACATTCCCAGAGGTAGTGATGATTTTGGCATGCTCTCTGTACAGTTTATAAATTCTGGTTGATATTATCAAGTTCTTATGAAAATTTCTGCATTATTGAATATCTCTATGTGTGTATGGATTCTACCTGGGGCTGACAGGGCTCTCTCACATTTCAGCCAGAGCAGGAACAATACTCAGTTGTTAGACCTTTACAATCAGCTATTCAGGTGGAAACACCTGAGGACAATGGGCTAACTCAAGCCTAGGAGAACCTACATTCTCCAGTCCCTCAACAAAGGGGCTGGTGTTTGAGGAGTGGAAATTTATTGGCAGCAGGAAAAGAGAACCAGGTGTTGATAACAAGACATATAAACTTGAGGGACTCACAGGAACATTTCAGCAGGAGTGAAGAAAAGAGACGGACATGCTGAAGAAGGGGAGCAGGGGGCTCCATGACTGAGGAGACAAGCCATGTGCTGCAGCAGAAGGACCCTGGATAGCCCCAGAGGGGCTGACTCCATACCAAAGAATGAAGAATAAAAAAGCATAGGTACTATAACAAAGCTCTTTGAGATACTGCCAAATACAAACGCAAGAAGGCATTAATATGAACCACGGAGGAACCAGGCACTAAAGGAATTATAGTAGAATTTCTTTACACAGAATAATTCAGACTTGTTAATGGAAAACACGTTATCCACAGGGAGCATAAGCAACACGTAAAAGAGTTATACAAAAAGAGTTCAACTGCTAATTAAAAGGTGGCCAAAGATTTAGATGGGCTTTATAGTGTCCTGTACCAGAGGTAAGGTGACCAGATAGCAAATGTAAAAAATCGGGACAGAGGATGGGAGGTAATAGGTGCCTATATAAGAAAAAGCCCCCAAAATCTGGACTGTCCCTATAAAAATCAGGATATCTGGTCACCCTATCCAGAGGTTCTATCTTCCCATATGGAAAATAGATAAGAAAGTGGGGACACTAGTTCATTTCTTAAATATAAAGCAGAAATTTGTATCTTTGTTTCCAGTTACCCACCAGAAAGATCAGAGAAAAAAAGTGTAACATATTTACAGCGTAATACAAATAAAGTTTTAAGGTGTCAGATCTTGTTCTCACTCAGACTCAGGAATATCTGTAGGACAAAATATTTTTCCTACATTAAAACTTCTTCTTAAACAGGGTACCTATTTAAATGACTCTTATACTGTAGGTGATGTTATAGGGAATAGGATTATGCTACAAAAAAGTTACAAAGGTTGGTATTGCCAAACTAATTTCCCAGAAAATTTCCCATCCAGTTTGGACAACTAGCATAAAATTAAAACAATACCATTAGGTGCAGTAGGTGGTGACCAGCTGCCAAAATATTTTGGCAAGTATTTCCGCAGCTCTAGAAGAACACTGTCACAACAGTCAGCAGCATAAACCTGAAACAAAAGAGGGGAAATATAACTTTAAATTATGCATTTTATATTTTCAAGAGCCCACTGCTACCTGTATTCCATAATGTTTACAACTACTTTACATGTAAAAACCTACAAGTATATATGAGAAATTCAAGATATTTGTAATCTTCCAACATGCAGAACATACATTGATTTTTACTATCCAGGGAATACTGTATTAGCTAACTTGAACAAAAAAAAAAAAAATAAGTTAATCTTTTCTTATCAAAATTTAAGCTGTAATTGTTGGTATTAAAAAGCCAGTATAGTACAGACTGAGTTCATTCTTCTATCCTAAATCCTGGATTTTGAAGGATTACTATAGATTTTAGCTATTTTAAATTGTATCAAGCTTAGAATACAGATTCAGTTTGGATTCTTTTTTCCTCACTTCCCCACCCCCAAAAACCTCAGTACATCCTTTGAATAATTACACAGCCACAACACGCTATTCAGATACATCTGTTTTCCTCTGCTTTGTTTTTTTTCTTGAATTTGGCAAGAAACGGTTGGAAAAAATTGTTTGGGAATAGTAGCCGCTCTTTATTACATTTCTGCAGTATTAATTTCTCATTCACATAAACTGGAATTTAGAGACGGTCCTATAACTACAACCACTTTTAAATGGTGTTGTTGCTAGCAGGGTTCTAAAAAACATTTCCCTGGCTAGTGTGGAATGGAATTTTTTGTCAGAGAACGTAGCTGCAGGCAGCACAGCAGATAACTTAGAGCACACTTTTACTAGCATGGGGTTTAGGCCCCCTCCAAAAAATGCATGTCCACACTGATAAAGGATACAGACCACTGTTAAACATCAAGTCTAAACACTTGTAGACAGCAAGGCCCCAAAGCCATTGCAGATGTGGGTCAATTCCTATCCACATTGTAGCAACTGTGCTGGAAGACCTCCCAGGCACAGTGTAGTAGTTACCTAGAAATACTAACACATTCGCATTCTGCAACAGACCATACTGCAATGTTTTAATTGCATTTCCAAACTGTTTACAAAGCTTCTTAAATCCAAAACTTAAATACAACTCCCAAACAAACAGGGCCCCATTTATGTTGTAAAACTAACCCATATAGCCATGGCAGGAGATTTCCTTCTTATAATTGAATCTCCTCCTCAAAACTCATAGACTCATAGACTTTAAGGTCAGAAGGGACCATTATGATCATCTGGTCTGACCCCCTGCATGCTGCAGGCCACAAAACCGTCCCTACCCTTTCCTTGACTCTGCTGATGAAGTCCCCAAATCCTGAAGATGTTACATGGTAAACTGAACTAAATGATACCACAATGGCTTTAGGACAAAGGTGAACAAAAAAGTCTAGTTACAATTCCACAAACATCAAGACAAACCTCAACTGTGACTATTTATGTCAATTCAAGTACATTGGAGCATCAAGCAGCAGCAGAATGTTAAAGCTGGTCAGAGCAATTTTGTCTTAGGTTTCGTCTTACCTTCAGTCTAACCTTGAGTTGAGCACTCACAAGTTAGTCATCTTGATTTAGCCTAATTTGACAGAGCACAATCACACTGCAGAAGAGCAGTCAAGTTCCGCATAGCTGCTATCATGCCCAATGTCTACACTGGCACTGTATACAGTTGAGAGAGATTTCTGGGTAAATATCCCATTATCCGTATCACCACAGCTCAATGCTCAATACATGTGTGTTCACAGGGCGCTGTGGGTAAAGTGTCTGTCCCCTCTGGGAATTGTGGGAAGACATGATCTAGGCCCAGGAAATCCACTGCCTGCCAGGACACAAGCTGTTGTGCTTTTACCTGCTTGTGCTCTAAGATATGCAACCTGCTCATTGCAACAGCTAGGACCAACAACTATTATTTTTTATGAAGGCAATGTTTCTTTGGCGTGCCTCTGCGAAAGCTGCCACTAAGAGACTTAAAGAGTCGGTTTCCCCAGAGAAGGCAGCGGTGGTGCTTACTGTTAAAAGCACACCAAGAAGAGATCAGTACCACGCAGATATGGAGGCCTGGACCCAGCTGATGTTCTCTTTCACAGCAAACACACCATCACCCCACTCCCAGGACCAGAGTGGTGGGACTATATATTGTGATGGAAATATACAATCAGCAGTAGGCCCAGAACTTTTGTATGAGGAAAGCAAGATCCCTGGAGATGGGGGGCGGGGGGGAGAGAAGAGAATTCGCCTGGGGCCTGAAGGACCAAAACACTCAGACAAGAGAAGCAATAGTGGTCCAGAAGCACGTTGCTATTGAACTATGGAACCCAGCAACTCCATACCGATCTATTGTAATAATTTTGGGATTGGCAAATCCCTATTTGACACAGTGGTCACAGAAATCTGCTCTACAGCAACGTAGGGAGGTTATTCAGAAATAACTGTGGAGTTTGAACAGATGGCATTCCCAAACTGTGCAGGTGCTATTGATGGCACGCCTATACTTATCATATGCCCGCCAACTTAAGCAGGTACATTAACAGGAAGGGCTACTACATCATCATTATGCAGGACTACTGTGTCAGAGTCATGGACACCTACATAGGATACACATGGTAGACTACACAAGATGAGGGTGTTCTGGAGGTCTGGTCTGTTTCAGTGTAGGTAAGCTAATACTGGATTCTGACCTAGTGACAGTGTTCAGTAGGATGTCCATGTCCATTCTCATTTCAGCCAACCCTGCCTACCCTCTGATGCCCTAGGTGATATAGACTTATGATTTCCACTGCCCTCGCAAGAGAGAGTACAATTACAAACCAAACAGTTAAAGGATGGTAGCAGAATGTGCTTTTGACAGCAAGGAAGATGGTGCTACTTACAGACTCATTTGGACTGTAGTATATATAATGCCAAACATGGCACAGACACATGTGTTTCACAATCTAAGGGGGAATATCTGGGGGCAGAATGGATTGAGGACACCCATGATTTGGAGTCTGCTTACAGACAGCCACCTAGTGCACCTCTTGATTCTAGCACAGATTCCATTACAACAACAGACACATGGGATGCCTTGTGCACCCCCATTTGAGCTGTGTGGGAACTATACTGGTGCGGATGCCAGAATGTGGGCCAGGGGAGTGAAATGAAATGTGGTCTTGCAATATTTTTATATGAAATAAAACCTGGTGGACCTGTTATTTCTGTTTGATTTATTTATCCACTGCAACTCCAGAACTCAGTATGTGACTAAGCAAAGCTTTATTAAAGATCAGCATATTTAGGCATCCAGATCCCATGACAAAGTTGAAAGAATGTACAAAATGAAAGAAACAAGTGCAAAACAGCAACAGTGGCATGCAAGAGTGTAACAGTGCAACACACTCCAAACATCGGACATCAAAATAAACTGAAAATATTGTGCCATGTTATATATGAAAGGAACTGCACGTTAGGATGTGTTCACTTCATCCATATTCAAACTGGAACAGAGTGCAGCAGATAACTGCTGCCTGGCTTCGCCCACAGCGAGAGTTGTCCATAGGTTGGAGGTCATGGTACAATGGAGACAAAATTATGGGATTGGACATAGGTAAACAGATAATTTGGACAGGACAGCTTTGAGCTGAATGGCTCATGATCCTCAAACATCTCAATCACATCCCTCTGAAATGCCATGTCTCACTTCCTTATCTCCTGATCATAAAGAAAATACTCCACCAGCATTTCCCTTTCAGCTCAGAATTGCTTCTCTCTTTGCTTTTCAGCCTTCCCTAGGTCCTCCTGCCAGCACCCAAGGTGTTCCATAATGTTGTTCTGATCACCTGGTGAACTCCTTATGCAACTCCAGCTGCATATTCTCCTTGCAGATACCCTGAGTTGGTAAAAAAAGCAAGACAAGCTCACTCGTGGTTTGCTCTACCTCTCGAGGCATGATGGCTGTCTCACGGTATGGTGTCACTGAGGGTGCTGATGAGGATGTTAATGATTGAGCACATTAACAAGAAAACCTCTAATTTACGAGTGAAATCATTAATGAAGACAAAGGGCTTCTCTACACTGTGCAGCAATGTGTGCCAGAGGGGTCTAATTTGTGAAGCACCCTAATGTGTTGCACTTTAACTGCCCAGAGTAGACCTCGAACTAGGTATTTTTTAATGTTAACATATGCGCTTTGCCACACCATGCAAACAAGTCTTTAAATGGGGTTCTACTCTGAAAAACAAAACTCCTACATAACAGCATTGGGAGGTTTCATGTTTGTTGCCTTAGTGACTTCCAAAACAAATCTGTTCAGTTTACATGTAACGAGACTGCTTTCCTCATTGTCAACCTGGATCTGGGTTCTCTTAGCTCACATAGATGATAAATATTCTACAAATCAAACTGAGTCGACAATTCTGTTGACATGAACCAGAAAAAAAAGAGTTCAGTTACCTGATGTAACATGATTCTGGGACGTATTAACAGGTGTGTTGTGAGCAAGACACGAGAAGTCATTCTTCCGCTTTACTCTGCTCTGGTTAGGTCTCAGCTGGAGTATTGTGTCCAGTTCTGGGCACCGCATTTCAAGAAAGATGTGGAGAAATTGGAAAGGGTCCAGAGAAGAGCAACAAGAATGATTAAAGGTCTTGAGAACATGACCTATGAAGGAAGTCTGAAAGAATTGG